TTCTTGGATGAAGACCATATTTATTCTTTGAGTGCCTTCATTCTGTTTTAGATCCTCTTTTTATTCTTTGTTTCAGTATCAAGGTGTGACCCCCAGGCTCTCATCAACTTGCTTGCTCACTTCCAACACTTGTGGATATATCTGCTGTCCAAACCAGGCATTGCCTTTTCTCTCTTTCTATCCATTGTTCCTAGTTTTGTCTTCTGGAGTCACACAGAACAAGTCTAATTACTTTTCTACATCACAGCCCTTCAGATACTTGAAAATAGCTATCATAGGGGCAGCTAGGTGGTGCAGTGGGTAGAGCACTGGCCCTGAAGTCAGGAGGACCTGAGTTCAAATCTGGACTCAGACCAAACACTTGACACTTACTAGCTGTGTGACCCTGGGCAAGTCACTTAACCCCAATTGCCTAAAAAAAAAAATTGACATGAAAATAGCTATCATGTACTCCCTAAATTTTTTTTTCCACCAGACTACACATACTTGGTACCTTCAACGCATCTTGATCTTGAGCATGATCTCAAGGCCCTTATCATCCTGATTGTCTGCCACTTGATGTCTCTTCCTAAAATTTGGCACACAGAATAAGGTGCCAAATATAATATACTAGATGTGGTCTTGAACTAGGGCAGGGTACAGTGGAGCTATCCCTCCCTTGTTTTGAATATCATGCTTCTTTTAAAGCAGGCAAAGATCAGATATGCCTTTTTGGCTTCTATATCACCATGCCTAATCATATTAAGCTTGTAGTCCACTGAAACTCTAGTTCTTTTTCAGATTATCTGATATCTAGCCACACTTATCCTATCTTATACTAATTTTTGAACCAAATAAATGACTTTATATTTATCCCTGTTATGTTATACTCATCACTATTATATTTCATCTTATGAGGATTGTTCTGCCTATCTGTATCTTTATGAGTCTACATATGGGCTAACCCTTTGTTTTCTTTTCAGTTGGTTGGCTTTGTGTGTCTTATTTTTTAAAAACACAAAAAACAAGAACTACTAAAATTTGCATACCTGGTAATGTAACACCCCTCCCCACCCCCCACAGCCATCAGTCCGACCTAACAGATGAACACCACCCTGTCATCTTCCTTCCCCTCAGCCTCCCACCCCTGACCTGACTTCTATGGGAGGTGTTGGTATATCAGTCCAGCTCTCCACAGAACTATATAGTTAATGCTGCAAGGCTCACTTAGACTTTAAAAAGTGGGACAGCTAGGTGGTGCGGTAGATAAAGTACCAGGCCTGGAGTTAAGGAAACCAGATTTGAAATCTAGTTGTGTGAACCTGGGCAAGTCACCTAACTTTTGTTTGCTTCAGTTTCCTCATCTGTAAAATGGGATGATAATTGCACTTACCTCCCAGCATTATTGTGAGGATCAAGTGAGATAATAATTATAAAGTCTTTAACACAGTGCCTGGCACATAGTTAGCACTATATAAAGTCAGATATTATTATTAGCTATTATAAAATAATTAAATTGCTTCAATGGGCTGCTGCTTTTGGAAATCCCAGCATTTAGTTTATATCTTATGTTTTTTCCTCGTTAGGATAAGCTTTAGAAAACCTGATATGAGCAAGAGATGTAAAGAGCAGCTTTGGAACAAGCTGATTCATTTATTGAACGTTTATAATATACCAAATAACAATTGGTTTAGAAATGAAAACCTTAGAAGTTAAAACTGAGCAACCAGGGTAATAAGGAGACCTGGAACCATTCTGTGTGAGGGTTCGTTGAAGAGGTTGGGTATATTTAGGCTTAGGGAAGGAGACAAGAGAACACTTATGGAGTAGGGTATAATAGCTATCTTCAACTATTTGAAAGGTTGTCATGTGGAAAAAGAATTATACTTGTGTCACAAAGCAGAACTAGAATTTAGGGGTGGAAGTTTTAGGGAGACAGGTTTTAGCTTCGGTAATCTGATCTGTGCAGAAATGAAAAGAGCTGCTTTGGGAAGTTGCACAGTCACAGATAGTGAGTGGCCCATCTCTGTAGGCCTTTAAGTAGAGGCTAGATGGCCATGTGGCAAGGGCATGAGTCTGTGGCCTGCTATGTTAGTATTATCTGCTCTGGGAAAGTTTTATTATGCATAGGAAACTGATTATATTAAAAAATATTGGTATAAATTTTTTCCCATTCAAGTTTATGGACACCTCCAAAACACCTGTCCACAGACTTTTGGGTGTCTATGGACCCCATGTTAAGAATCCCTGTTCTTTTTTTTTTTTTTCTCTTGGCTAGGCAATGGAGTTAAGTGAGTTGCCCAGGGTCACACAGCTAGTAAGTGTTATGTGTCTGAGGCTGGATTTGAACTCAGGTCCTCCTGACACCAGGGCCAGTGCTCTGTCCACTGGACCAACTAGCTGTCCCAAGAATCCCTATTCTAATGGAAGGTATTGGGGTGTAGTAAAACCTGTTCTAGTGGAAGTGTTTATGGCAGTCTAAGGTGCTATTGCCCCACTCCACTTCTCACACTGCCCACTTTTCCTTGCTTTGCTGCATACAAGCCTTCTCTCTTAAGTCTCCCCTATCTACCCATAGCCTATTACATCTGCTTTTCTACCTTAAGAAAGGTAGAAAAGGTACTGGCATTAAGGTACTGGGAAACATCAGTAAATATATAACAACATAGCCCTGACCGTGAAGCCTGCTGCCACTTTTGGCAGAGTGGCAAATCAAGGTCTCACAGATCTTCAACAAAGGCAACTAATCATGATCTCTAATTCCTTCTTAAACTCCCAAGTCTCCACTGCTACCAGATCACCCAAGTTCCTAGAGAAGAACTGGAGAAAGAGAAAAGATCTAACAGGGGTGGAGACCCTTTGGCCTTGAGGCCACATGTGGCCCTCTAGGTCCTCAAGGAGGGCCCTTTGACTGAATCCAAACTTCACAGAACAAATCAGGATTCTGTGAAGTTTGGAATACAGTCAGAGGGCCCTCCTTGAGGACCTAGAGGGACACATGTGGCCTTGAGGCTTCAGGGTCCCTACCCCTGTTAGACCTTTTCTCTTTTTCCAGTTCCATATGTGAATTAACTAGAGGTTTAAACAAGACTATTTCTCTATAGGGGGAGAACATATCATAATTTATATACACTCACTTCCATAATTCAAGGATCTGTGATTTATTTGGTGTTGGTACTTCCTCCACCTATCTAGATTATAACCCCTCTGTGATTAAGAAGTTGTTAAAGTGGTTATTTGAGAGTTGATGTAGCTGAAAAATTCTTCACCTTGCTTCCAGTCTTGTGATGGGCCTTTCTGAATTTAGCTTAACTGATTCTCAGACAGCACCCACAGACTGTCATCAGGCTTGTGCTTGAAACTTTTCCAGCTTGGCAAGAGTTTGTGTCCCTCTGGCATAGTCTTCAAATACTCAGGGCATTCTTTGCACCACACTGAGGCATTGGAGTGGAATGTTACTGGCAGTTATGTAGACATATAAGAGAATAGAGTTAGCAAAATATCAACACAGTGACCCACTGGGTAGCTCTTAATTTTCCTAAATCTATGCTCATTTCCCCTGGCCTATCACATATAACATTAGCCATGTGCATCTTATCAGAACCTCAGAATAATAATAACTAACATTTATACAGTGCTTCCTATAAGCCAAGAATGTTTCTTCTTCCTCTATCATCAACACACCCACCTAACAATTCCTTTAATTCTGAGATGCTGCCTGTGTGCCTTGGCTATTCTCAGTTTCATCTCCCCAGGTGTAGCCAACTGGTGGGTTTTTAATCAGTGCCATAAGTTCAGATAATTGGAAATGACTCCTGCCACCATCCTTGCCTTTGTGCTATGGCTTACACACACATTGGTGGGACCACAAACCTTTACCTAAAGTACATGTCAACAAAGTTTAATATGATCCCTTACCAGTATTATCTCCTAAAATTCATTAAGATATCCCAGTACTTGAATAGAGACATACTGGGAAATACAGCTGAAGGAATCATTCTAGCATCCACAACATACAGTATGGAAAATGAATGCCCCCTTATGTGAATGTCTTCCTGGGTTCTCCTAAATTGATTTCAATGTTAAGTATTAAACATTTAGCACAGAGCCCTGTGAATAGGATGCTTAATGAATATTTACTAAATTGAATTAAAGAGGACAAAACAGTAAAAAAAAAAAAAAATAGTGTTTAAGGTGATGGCCCTGCTCCCTATTTTTGCACAGGCCCTGACACTGTTTCTTGTTGAACTACAGGGAAGTCAAATGCCTGTCCCTCATGATATATCTTTCACACTCCCTATGTCCAGACCTTGAAACCTGGATTCTACTATAACATTTAGCAATATTCAGGAGAGGAAAGGTTAGAAGAGGGAACATTTCAGATTTCAAAATTAGTGAATTCTGTCCTTGAATCAATGACAAGTGTCACCTTGTTTTTTGTATTCTTCTTGGTGACCCCACTTAGTTCAAGCTATTCAAATAGGCCATTAATGCCAAAGGAAACCAGATTAGACAAGAAAGAGGAGTTGATTTCTTTAATCCAAACATTACCAGCCCATTCCTTAGGAACACTGAGCACCAGAAAGGAATGTATGAAGTAAGAAGTTATTTTTTTTAGTGGCACGAGATGGACAGCCTGAATAAAGAAATAACAGCATAGTTATTTGATGTTTGAATGTTCAAGAAGAGCATAAACTCCTGTGTAGATCTATGTGAATGATAATACAAAATAAATCATAAAAATTTGGGAAAAGCCTTTTGAAATGGTGCTACAAGTATTCCCTTAGTCCAGTAGAAGGAAGTTAAAAACCACTGCCTTAATAGAATTTTGAAATGATAGATTATGATTTTGTGTGTGGAGGAAAATGGCTTCGGGTCAAGCTTTCAGAGCTGCCATTTGTGACTCCTGGAAGGCAGACAAGCATCAATGATATGATCTGAATTGGATACAGAGAAGGCCTTTGTTACTGAAAATTTCACCTTTTTCTCCTTTCTCTCCTATGTCCCCGCTCTCCTTTCAGATACAGCACAAAGAATCCTTCTTTGCAGTCCGAGACAGTCCATTATAAGAGAGGGGTGAGCCAGCAATTCTCCCTTCCTTCCTTCAAGATTGATTTCTCAGAATGGAAAGATGATGAGGTATTTCTTTTGTCCACTTTTTCTACTCTTCCCCAATAACATTGCTTGAATACCCTTCTGTTCATAAGATACTAGGGTTATTTAATCTGCATCTTAATAACTTGCTGTTGGAAAAAGTTGTTTAGGACAACTAAATATGTTTTGTTCACAGAAGGTGACTGAAGGGTTGTGGAAAGTGGGTTTTAAGAGTGGGTTAATTAAGTGAGAATGGAAGAAATGAAGTATGTTTTAGGAGGTAGAGAGGTACTGGTTTTTAGGACTGTCTAGAACCATGAAAGAATGAATCAGTAACCTCTGTTTCTGGTGAGTTCCCTTGTGGCACAAAGATTTGTTGTGGGTTGAGATTGAACCTCACTGTGGTTACCTCTGCTCAGGTCAGGTCATTCAGTCTTCCAGATGTAAAAACTATTGTTAGTTCTCCTAGGAATAATGTACTAACTCATGCCAGTGAAACATCCATTGGGTTGATTTGTATATTAGGAAACCAGTTTGTTATTGTTATTCACGTGCCTGGTGAATAAGTCACAATACTCATATTTGGTTATGTAGGACACTCCATTTCTGGCATCAGTGTATTTAGAACTTAAATGAATTAACAGAAAGTTGCTTGGTGAGCATGGAGTGAGAGAGAAGGATAATGACTGGTTTTTAATGGATGTTTGTCCAGCCCATGGTTACTATTGATTCATCCTTCCCTTCCCCCAAGGTTCCTCTTCCTGATACTCTATACTTGTCAAACTGAATGCCCCTCACCTTTGTATGACACTAGGTGCACACTGAAAAATTATTTTCACTTTCACTTCTCTCTTTTTTAAAAAAAAATTGCATGTGAGCAAATCACTTATATTAATTTTCAGTGCCATTCTGACATATGAGTTTATATTCAGTTGCTGAAGAGGCAAATGAGGAGAAATAGAAAAAAACATTGAATTCTGAGTCAAAGGGTCTGGGTTCAAATCCCTGATCACTACTTACTTACAATCTGTGTACCATGAAAAAGCACCAAGAGCAACCTCTTAGGATCTCATTTTCCTCATCTGTACAATGAGGGTGGATTGGATTAGATGTTCTATAAGGTTCCTTTGAGCTCTAAATCCTTTGAATCTTCTTTGCACTATACAAAGGAGTTTACTTAGTTCCAGATAGCCACCTTACTTTAGGTTGTATAGGCCAATGTCCACTTAATTAACCTGTGGGCTTTTATAACATGTGTTACATATATGGCTCTCTATCCTGAAGTACATTTTAATCTAAGGGGGAGGAGAGAATATAAACATATTGACTTCAAAATATGTATTTTGGGACTATAGAAGCACATCTTTCAAGAGAGAGTTTTAATAATATAAGTATCCTTTTTGCTGATTGACAAAATAACCTTTCCTGTAATTTGTTCTTTGAGCCATCCATTCTTTAGGATTAAATTATTTAGTGCCCAATTAATTTTTCAGTGGTCTTTTATTCAATATAGTTTTTATTACATTGTGATGTATAAAAGATGTTTAGTATTTCTGCTTTTCTACATTTGTTCATGCAGTTTTTATGCCCTCATATATGGTCAGTTTTTGTAAAGTTGCCATGCACAGCTGAAAAATTTGTATACTCCTTTCTGTTCCCTTTCAGTTATCTCTAGAGGTCTTCGTATCTAACTTTTCTAAAATTCTATTCAGGTCCTTGGGATTAATTGAGGTACTCCACTATTGTAGTTTTACTATGTAAAATTATATATTAAATATAATTTATAGCTGCTTCTAGGCAGTTAAGGAGTGCAGTGACACAGCTAAAGATCACTTGACTTGGAGTCAGGAAGACTTGAATTCAAATCCTGCCTCAAACACTTACAAGCTGTATGACCCTGGGCAAGTCATTTAACCTCTGTTTGCCTCAGTTTCCTCATCTGTAAAGTAGGGTAATAATAGCATCTACTGTCCAGGGTTGTTGTAAGGCTCAAATGAGATATTTGTGAAGTGCTTAGTACAATGTAAGGTACATAGTAGGCACCATATAAATGTTAGCTATTGTTGTTGTTATTTTTTCTTGTGCCAAGCTGTTAATTCCTTTTCCAGTTCTTCCATAGTTCTCATTTCTTTTCCCATTTTTTTCCTCCAGTGCTTTTATTTGATTTTTTAAAGTCATTTTAAAAAAATCTTTCTTTATCTCTTCTAGGAATTCTAGTTGAGCTTCTGCCCAAGCTTTGTTTTTCTTTGGAGCTTTGCTTGTAGATATTTTGGAGTTATTCCCTTCTTTTGGAATTATGTCATGAATGTCCTTGTGACCCTAATAACATTTTTATGGTGGGATTTTTGTTTGTTTGCGTATTCTTCCAACCTGCTTCTTGATTTCAGTCTTTATATTCGGACCAGGCTCTGTGCAGTTCTGGAAGGAATGTTTCAGCTTTGTTCTTGGGTCTGCTGCTTTCTTGGGGTTTTAAGTTTTGTATTATTTCAGAATTTCAGGACCAGCCCAGACTGGGGATCTTCAGTCTTTCAGTGCTTTCAAAGTAGTCTGATCCAGGGTAGAGTTTGGTCACTGTCTTCCTAGTCTGAGCTTTGCAAGTTCCTGACCTTGGTTTGGGTTTGACCAGCACATCTGTGGTCTTGTTCCTGGTTGGAGTACCAGTAGGACCCCCCTCCCCCCAACTTAGCCAGTATCATCCATCTGCAAAGTTTTGCTGATTTAGAGTAACAAAACTACAGACTTCCCTTTATTCTGGGATTACTGCGTTGGTTATTCTCTTGAAGGTTTCAAACTGGGCTGGGGATTGGAACTCAGACCCTGCTGTGTTCCTGGTGTCAGAGCACCCAGCTGATATTTGCTTCTGAACATGCTTCTTGCTCAGTCCTTAGGCACGGACCTTTGACAGCTCCTCACCATGGAACACCACCCCTTAGGAGCTGTCTTCTCCTTAGTCTGTCCCGCATAGGTGCCCTAGAACTGGGTAGCAAGCAGTAGAGCTGCCAGTGGCACCTCTTCCTTCACCCTGTGGAAGGGTGGACGCCTTCATATGGGTCTACTCTCTTGCCTTGTCTACAGCTTTGACTTTCATTCAGTGCCTGTGCTGGAATACTCTGTGGGGCCGTTGCTAACTAGTCTCCATTCCCAATGACCACAGGCGTCTCTGCCTGCTCTGTGTCAACTTGGGCTGGAGAAGTGACTCACTGTGAATTTCTTCATGGCTGTCATGGTCCAGACTAAATCGAATACATTTTCTAGATCTTTGTGGAGGAGTTGGGAGGAGGGGCGGGGAGCTTGGCTATACTTTCCCTGTTACTCTGCCATCTTGGCCCTACCTCCTTCAATCCATTCTGTACTATACTGCCAGAACAGTCTTCTTAAATTAAAATGACCTTTTTATTATGTCATTTCCTTATTCAAAGGCTTTAAAATAAAGATTGGTTCCCATTTTTTTATAGGATAAAAAAGGATAAACTCTATGGTATTAATTTAATTTATTCAACAAGAACTTATTAAACACTTGTTATATTCCAGTCACTGTGCTAGGCTCTTGACATATAGGGACGAGAGTCAAACAATCTCTGGTCTCAAGAAGCTTACATTCTATTGGGAATCAACATGTACATAGATAAAAATAAAATACAGAGTAAATATAAATATAAAACTTACATAAATATATATTATATGTAATAAATATAAATATAAAGCAGATTGGGGAATACTAGTAACTGAGGGAATCAAGTAGGTCATAAGGCCTGTTAGTAACAGGTGATACTTGAGGTGAGTCTTGAAAGAAGCCAAGGATTCTAAGAGATGGAGGTGAAAAAGGAGAGTATTATAGTTGTGGAAGATGGCATGAAGACAAGAGATGGGATATTGTGTGCAGAGGGTAGCTGGTAGGCTGATTTGGCTGGAATATAGAATAAATGAAGGGGACTATGTATACTCAGACTGGAAATAATAGATTGAAGTTGGATTTTTGAAGGGCTTTAAGTCAAACAGAAGCTTGCATTTTATCCTAGAGGCAATTGGGAGACATTTGTATAGTACTTTGTTGTTCTAGATTGTTTTGCATATGTTATCTCATTTGATTCTAATGTAATCCTGTGAGGTTATTAACAGAGTTAGGATCATACCCATTTTGCAGTTAAGAAAGCAGGCAAAGAGACTGGAAAGCACTCACACAAAGTCATAGAGGTAGAGCTGGGTTTAAAACCCAAATGTGCTTTTTTTGCTGCCTTGCTTTTGAGAAGATGCTGCTTTATGGTTCAGTTGATATTGTCAGAAGATAGTGATTGCATTTATCCAAGGATCTTTTATGACTGTAACATTCATGTGATAGAAACTTCGTTGGAGGAAAGCCATGTATGTGGTATTCTGCTCAACAGAAGATGATGCTTTTTTTATGATCAACAGACAAAAGCAGTAGGATGAATATATACCTTTCTATCAATTATATGTTGAAAGCATATGGTTAGTAGTTAGTGATCCCTTCTTGGCCATATTTTTGGGACTAATAAATATCATTCTTCCAGATATTTTGAAAATCAGTTTCCCACTACTTTCAGAATTGTGTCACATCCAGCACAGATTTTTTTTAAAAAGTGTATAATTGGTCTACTCAACCTGCTTTGCCTAGTTTCATTTTTTTTTAATATGCTGTATTGGTGCATTTTGTCATTATATCACAACCATTTCTGGGGTAAAAACCACTCCTTCTCATTGAATGGTATCTTATAACAAAAACAATTAAGCACAAGGATGACATCTGACAATGCATACAATACTCTGTCCTGGTAGTCTCCTATCTCTCTCCCAGAAGGAGGCCGGTAATTTTCATAATCTAATCTCTAAGACCATCATTATCTTTTAAAAACATAATATTTCATTTTTCCCCAGTTACATGTAAAGATAATTTTTAGCTTTCGTTTTTTAAAAAATTTTGAGTTTTAGATTTTTTTCTCTCGGTCTCTCACTTCCCCTGTCCCTGAGATGGTAAGCAATTTGATATAGGTTAGACGTGTCCAATCAAATTATTATCCTTTTAA